TCCCGCTTCAACAGAACGAAGCTCTGTAGAGCCGCCTTCACTGCCAACTCTCGGTGCTCTTCACTTTGAACCACCGATAAGTTTAAATTGGCGTATGGGTTTAGTTCCGGTGGGTCAAATTCCCCAAGCCTCATGCGGGTGTAAAACAGCGGTTTTACTCTCTCGACCACTGTCTTTTCCTTAATCTTGCCAGCTGTTACCGCATCACCGATCTTGATGTACATGCCGTCACCGACCGGGAACGCTAAGTCCAGGTTACAGCCCGCATTCACCGCAGACGCGACGGTGTCGACGATGGAGTCAGTGTAGTGGTGTGACGTCATGATGAATTCAACGGCGCCTTCGTCACTTACAACATAGCCGTCAAACCCCCATTCTTTCCGTAAAATGTCTGTTAGAAGGCGTGTATTGGCACATGCAGGCACCTCGTTGATTCTGCATGGAAATAAAGGCATTTGATTGATTGATTGATTGATTGATTGATTGATTGACTAATTGATTGATTGATTCATTCATTCATTTATTCATTCATTTCTTCCTTCCTTCCTTCCTTCCTTCCTTCTTCCTTCCTTCCTTCCTTCTTTCCTTCCTTCATTCATTCATTTATTCATACCTGTTGTAACTACACATGACACTGTAGACCCCAGCCTTAACGCATTCATGAAACGCTGGTAAGAACGTCATCTGCCAGTCTCTCTCGAAAACCTGAGAAACAAGATATATTTTATAGGGTTAATGCAAACATGTTTTGTCATCTAATCAGTCTGTCCTAGGATGTATGACGTAATAGTCTTGATTTGGAAGCATTAAAGCGGAGAGTCGTCACCTGCACATGCGTCAGATGGCCATAGCGTGTCATTGTTTACAAACTTGCGTCTACCCATGAGCCTTTGCGTTTTTAGCGTGTGTTGTTATCATCGCTTGGGACTCAATTCCAAGGCGTGCGCAGGTGACGACCCTCCCGCTTTAATTATATTACAGATTTTGTTGCGAAGAAGAAATTGGGCGGCCGAACTGAACAAATAATCCCTATAAATACGGCTGTACCAGTCATAACGAAATAACGATCATTTGATATGCTGTCACGACACGTGGATAATTATCAAGTCGTCTGGGATAAAGTTAAAGGGCGGTGGTCCTGTTCGATATTGGACTCATAGCGACGTATAAAACGCGTGTAAAGTACATTGTTTATTTACACGAAATTCGAACACGCGCTGCGCGACGACCACCGCGCTTTAAGCGACAAGATTTCCCTGACAGCGGAATCAAACTTTGGCATATGACAATTTAACAAATTTATTCAAGAGACTTCTTATTCCTGATGTCGGTGCAATATCTTGGCCTTCTTTGGTTCATTTTACTCTTATCGGCTATATCTCATATAGGTGACTTAAATTTACCGAAATAAGCACATTTTACGACTGAACCGGGTAAATTTCACATTATGTGCACTCACTCATTCTTTCGAGATGAATAGTTCAAATTGTGATTCTTCAAATTAATATAATAAGTACATGTCATGTATACTTTAAGATGGAATTAGGGTGTGGTTCGGACATTGGCGATGAACATATGCATGGATTTTTGCATATATCCTTTGTTATTCCTTTTTACAGCACTTTTTAATTAATTATTTTTAAGAAGATGGTCCTAATCAAAGCAAATTAAATATTTTGATTTAGTTGGTGTTTTTATGCTGTAGAGAATTTGAGAATTAAGACGACGCGTTGCATATTAAGCGTGATGACAGGACAAGGATGGGATGTGCACAGTAATTCAGTCAATACACAAAATTATACTGTATATCGTTGGCTTTGTTGTGCTTGAAGGTTTCACAATATGCAACCAAAGTCGTGCACATCAAATACAACATATTTTTCACCGTATGGGATTCCTAAATTGTACACTTGATTTTTATACAGCAGGAATTTTATCTCAGCTCACCTTGGCATCGAATGAAAATCTTGATACGGGTATATCTTCGGGTCCACCGTGAACGTCGAAGTGTTTACACCCTGCATTGGCGAGGACGTACCGTGGATGGTCGCCTTGGAGACCGCGTACGTACGCACTACCAAGCTCACCAATCAAGAAAGGATCTTCTCCGTATGTCTCCTGTAGACATAATCATGGAAACTAATGTTCTTCCAAATATTAGAAAGAATAAATGATATGCGGCTGTATGTATAAACAAGTGGCGTTCTGTGATTTTTGTTGTGAGGTTAAAGTTATTTTTATTGGAAACAATATATTTGTATTGACTTATATACAAACGAACAAAAATGCGTCATTTATTTTTTATAAAAACATGTACAGAGAGTTATGAGATTTGAAAATCTGCTCAATAGACGCCCGTGTCAAATCAATACTTCATTCTCATAAATCGCGCCCTCTAGTGACTGGACGCTTCTGTGACGTCAAAATGACGTTGGATGAAGGTAATGCCGTTCAAATCGACAACTGTGTTTGGTTGTATATGTGTTCGTCATCTGCAATTTAAAAAAAAATCTCACAAAAACATAATCTTCATTGATGGACGACTACAAATCAAAATGACATCGACGCTTTGAACGGCCTTTGGTCATTCATTGACGTCATAAGATCGCTTCGTCACTGGAAGGCGCTATTTATGGAAAATGTGTATTGATACCTATCCACCTAACGCCAACGTGTGTAATCTTTACCTGATTTCTTCCCCACAGTGGGTGCCTTGCGATGTTAATGACCGGACTGAAACAACTTAATCCGGTGTGTTCTTGGTACACTCCGCGTTGTACATAGTCGTTGTGTTTGGCTCGCACTTCCAACCCGATCGCCTTGGCAACATCACTCAACAAGTCCGGACTGTTGGAAAACAAATTGCCTTATGGGTTATGTAATGTGTAAGTTTGAAACTTAAGTTCAGTGAAAATAAATTTGGATCAGGCTACCAGTCAAGTAGTCCCGTAGGTTATTTTCACATTGCGCACACATTTACTCTTCTAATATTGACATTTTTAGATTTCTTCCCGCATCATTGGCATCATTTTAATTGACCACCGGCAGATTGAAAGCGCCACAGTCGTCGCGCCGCAACATTACCTGAATGACGCAGCTAATCCAATAGACTGTGGGAATGCCGTAGCCAACCCATCGGGGGGTACCACTCCGTGTAGACACTCTGAGTTCCAGACGTATGGCTTTATCCCGAGCCGATCTATAGGAGGGGCGGGGCTGGTTCTCGCCATCTGTAGGACCATTTCGTCCAACGTGAGTCGGCTCACCAAGTCGTCCACGCGTTCTTCCCATGACAGCGATGTGTTTTGAAACGGATACGCAGCAGATATTAGTGGGAATGAGACAAGATGGATGACAAGCAACATCATGGTGATATCGGTCAACGCGGCCATGGCTGTTTATGGCGATCACACGCGGCGGACCAGCTTCGTATCACAGGCAGTGCAGTATTACTATTTACTGTATAATAGATTAGCCCAATCTCTTTGCGCGTTGTACGAAATGGACAAGCTAGTATGGCTATCTTTGCGATCTTAGTACAAAGTTCGACAATTGTTTGGGCTATATAGGTTGCACGTTTCATCGTACTTTTCAAAGTTGACGGTGTGACTATAACACTGAAGCAGTATTTGGACATTAAATTAATTATAACCCTATAATGATGTAATATTCGCTCGTCCTGATTAAATGTCCAAATGCACACATAATATATGTATGACATAAATAATATTATTATACATCTGTCACCGTAACGCCATAAGTTACAGCAAGCCGTAATGTTGCGGTATTTTACGGGGTATATTCATCCTAGCATGTAAGAAAATGCGAATTCTAAATATGGAATGATTACGCGTGTAAGCGCCCTCTATAATAAAAATAAAGCAATAATAAACACAAACATGGCTGCCACCAGGGTTTGACCGGACTCCACACAAAGACGTTCGCTGATTCTGTTCTAAACTTTTTGGATTTCGGCACTCCCATGATGTATCTTTGGAATGAAAAGATGTATAATAATAAGGTTATTACGAGAATACCTCAAAGTATGTACACAGACAGTACGCCGTCGCATCAACCTCCGCTATGCGTCGGTCGATACTACCGCTGTATTGTCTTCGTGCATACTTTGAGGTATCCTCGTAATAACTTCATATTATTGAAGTTCAATAAAACAGTACAACGGGTTTCATGAAGGCATGTTCGTTTTATATAAAATATTTATAAATTTTGAAAACAACTTGATCAATCACAATTGTTGGCGGATGAATACCCACCGTACGTAGCTTCACTGAGGTCAGTTAACCTTTAACCTCTTATTTGACACTGGCTCGTTTTGTTTTGCGGTTTTTTTTTTCAATTTTACTTTCTATGCCGAACGATAATTATACTGTTTGTGTTTGCATTCTTTTAAATTTCGGCGAATGAATCATGTAATTTTAAACGTTTTAAACAAATTTGATGAGATCTAACTTTTGCATTCATGGCAGTAAAACGGCCAATGATCAAATAAACCATGCAACGACTCGTGGTTAATAGGCGTTGTCAAATGGTCTCTACAGTCAATAAAATCACCTTCTTTGGATTTGAATTAAGCGTGAAGTGTTAATGTTTTATAAATATTCATAAATGTCCATAAACAAATTCACGCCTCTATGAAGCCAGATGTAACATCAGTTTAATATTCATAAATCAAATTGTAAGGTCGAGACTTTTTATGAATGCCCTCAACTTCGAGATTATGTGTTAGCACAGTCCCTCAACATGATCTCAACATGAAGAACGGTGTGGTGTGATGTTGCGCCCTCACAGATGGCAGTTTTATAGTTGTCGACACATGTCATGCGTTGTGCAAACTGTCACCAGGCACTTAATCACCTGATCTAGCAAACTGTTATTATAATAGAACATGCACTGAAAATGATCATTCTAATTTGAATACAACGAGTGCTGTTGACAGTCGAGCCTCCGTATTAAGATCGGGATAATGGCGCCTCCCGGGAAATGTGTTGTGTTCACTTCCGTGTTGTTCTCGTTGATCTCCACGATTCTCGGCGACTTTCCATTCAGAAACACCTCGCTACCGTGGAGTGAACGAGTCGACGACTTGGTCGGTAGGCTTACGTTAGAAGAAATCGTACTGCAAATGTCTAGGGGAGGCACTGGGAGTAACGGGCCCGCCCCGCCCATCGATCGCCTCGGTATTGGTCCCTATTCGTGGAATACAGAATGCTTGCACGGCGACGTCGCTGCAGGACCAGCTACTTCATTCCCACAGGCATTCGGACTGGCAGCGACATTTGAGTAAGTTTGTAATAACTACATTTATCTATTTTGTCTGTACCGCCCCCTAAAGGATAGATAGCAGAATTTGTATTGGGCTTAACCTTGTAGTCAGTAAGGTAACAACCCCTCCCCCTCCGCCACCTGCTACACACATCATTATTATGTATCACGCAAACAATATTGTCTAATTATGGGTATGTAAATGAGGTATTTAAAAACTGAAATACATTTTTTCAGATTATTGGTCAAATGGTATTACCTACGTTTAGTGATCAATACTAAGTGTACATTTTCTCATATTTGTTTAACCTGGTATCGACATCGACAAGAAATCAGTTTACGCACACATCATACTAAAATCATGTGACTGTGTCGCTGCGTGACCCTGGACCCTTGTCTTTGTTAGGCCATGGTTTGCAAATAAATACGGGTTTCAATCGAATCCAATGAAAGAGTTTTGTCCAGTCGATTGTTTAGTCCCTGGGCATGCGCAGATTATAATAATGAATAAATAACGACGACAAAAGGTTTAATGTGAATGTATATTTCACATTAAGACAGAATGCGGTTAATAAAATATACAGAACAAAGACAAATCCAGCAGGGGATTTTTGTTAATAATTACATATGTATATATAATCATCCGCCAGCTGACAACTGATTGCGACTATACTCGAGTCGTAAGCCGAATAAAATCAAATACGAATATCGATGCAACTTATGATTTCGAGCATATTTACTAGTATATATTATTTTTCGATATTGCACCAGACACAGACATTAGGGTATGACTTATTGTAAGAAAAACTACTTATTTTGGCATTAAACATAGCAGTATTCGTTCGAAGAAATGCGATTGCGTTCCTTGCTTTAAATTTACGTACATGTATTAGAAAATTCCATCGAACAAATACTGCTCCAATGTTTGTAGCCAACACATCATTTGTATATTGCTATACGTTATAATTATATTACGATTATGCGATACCAAACACAAGTATTAAATACACGTCAGCGTAAACACGGAGAATCGTGGAGATCGATATGTTCTTTAAAATTTAAACGATTTTTTGGGTGGGGTCAAGTGTGACGTCTAACTATGTGGTATGCATTTTGTCTGTCCTTTATGATGGATATACGCGCGTGGTGTATGTTATAACATTATTAAATTCATATACGCCAGGATTTCCAATAACCTTCATAATTCTTTGAAGTATTGTAAGCCTAGCAACCACTGTTTTCGGTACCAGCTAATTTTAAGTGTTTAAATAGTGTTGGGACAGATTTCGATCAACAATCACAATTTTTTGTCTCACCTGCGGGACAATTTAATTGTGTGCATGTGGTTATTGATGAAACCAACATTTAACGAATCACGTGATATGGTACATTTCTCAATACGAAACAAGTCTTAACATGCTCCGCAATCTCAGGAATTGCACCAATGCGTCATGGGACATACGAGTATGACGTTAATATGCAAATGTACGTGAAAATCATGGATCTTTAGTTGATTGGTTGACATGTCAGTCCGTGGTGAAATTATGCCATACTATTGTCTTTGAATTTTATTTTATTTGTATTACTATTATTTACTCACCTGCAGCGCGCACAAAATAATATTTCGGCATTTTTTTTTACAGTGCCGTGCTTATTGAGCAAATAGCCAATGCCACGGCCTATGAAGTACGAGCCAAGTACAATAATTATGCCAAGCACAAGGAATATGGCGATCACAAAGGTTTGAGTTGTTTCAGTCCAGTTATTAACATCGCTAGGCATCCATTATGGGGAAGAATCCAGGTAGGAAAATTCAATTTCGCTTATTTTTTCGATATGTTGTGTTTGTGTACTTCAGAATGGCCTGCCAAGAAATGTGAATCTGAAATTACTATAAATAGCAGTATTTTTGTCTTCTAGATTTCTGTCTTAACAACTAATCTTATATGATAATGAAAAACAATTTCTTTTTAATTATGTAAACAAATTGTAAGCAAAAAAACATACTTCTTAATTTGTTTCTGTTTCCCATTTCCTTTGTGTTGATACATTGGGATTTGTCGGGTGTTCATCTCCTACTCTCTTCTCCGAGAAAATAATTGTGTTCCATTGTAGGAAACATACGGAGAAGATCCATATTTGTCTGGTACACTTGCTGCAAGTTACGTCAACGGTCTCCAAGGCAACCACCCGCGTTACGTCACTGCCAACGCGGGTTGTAAACATTTCGACGCGTACGCAGGTCCCGAGGATATTCCGTCATCGAGAAGCACGTTTGATGCAAAGGTAATCACTGATTCCACGCTGATTGCGTAGTTGTGTAGTTGGGCGACCGAATTACAATATACGTAATATATCAGTCAAAAGTACGACAATTTCACCCACAAACAACACCATTAGTTCATTTAAAATAATTAACACTGATGATTTGCATATTGAAAGGTGATTATAGGATACAAGGAACGGCTATTCAAAATTACTCATTTACATGCAAGTACCTGTGTATCAAATTAAACTGTTGTGTTATTCCTTGCCAGGTATCTGACAGAGATTTGAGAATGACGTTCCTACCAGCGTTTCATGAGTGTATACAAGCAGGGACACACAGTTTGATGTGCAGCTACAACAGGTATGTGACGAGTATGTAGATTGTATATTATTTAATTTGATCTGATTTAATATAAAACAAAAATGTAATATGTGCTTTTCAATTTCACGAACCTTTTTTTTTGTGTTCCCTAGTATAAATGGAGTTCCGGCCTGTGCAAATAAGAAACTTCTCACTGATATTCTCCGAACTGAGTGGAATTTCACTGGATACGTCATCAGTGACCAATCAGCAGTTGAGAAAGTCTACGATGCTCACCATTACACGAAAGACATGCTAGACACGGCTATCGCGTGCGTCAACAGCGGACTCAATTTGGAACTCTCGTCGAATTTGGAAGACAATGTGATGATGCAGACCACCAAGGCGGTGAAGCAGGGTAATGTTACAATGAAAACCGTCAAAGCGAGAGTTTCGCCACTTTTCTACACGAGAATGAGGCTCGGGGAATTCGACCCACCGGAAATGAATCCGTATTCGAAGCTGGACCTGTCCATTATTCAAAGTCAGGAGCATCAGGAGTTGTCGTTGAAAGCGGCTGCGAAGTCGTTTGTGTTGTTGAAGAATGAGAATAGATTCTTGCCACTGAAAGAAAAGATTGACAAACTTGCTGTAAGAATTCATATTTCTGCCACCCCCTCCTTTCTAGAGATTGTGATAATCAAATATGGATGTTGTGTGATTTATCGTATCCGTTATTTTCGTATCTCACAAAATATTGCATTACGCAAATGTGCGTGCATTGTGAATGATTTTCAAGTACCAGTATGTCAAAGTTCAAGCTCATTTGCGTACTTCATTTCTTGAATGGATATTGTTAATTTCACGATAACAGTTTTAGTTGTCCTGGTAGTAAACGAAAGAAATTCCCCCACAACTTCTGAAATACATGGTAGCTTTGTTGTTACTCTGCCTTCCATTTTGAGAAGATGTCACCTACGAATAGCGCCATCTAGCGACAAATCTCTTTCATGACGTACTGACGCCGTTCAATACGGTATTGTTCTGATCTGTAGACGTCCATCAATGGAGATTTTTGAGAGACTTTAATATATTCTAAACGTCAAGCTGACGTCATAGAAGCGCTCCGTCACTAGCGGAATGGTGCATACTAAGTTCCACGCACCATGTCTCATTCTTTCTTATTTTATTCAGGTTGTAGGGCCGTTTGGAGACAGTCCAGATGAAATATATGGTAGTTACAGTCCCGATGTCAGTAACCTGACAGTGACACCGAGACATGGTTTATCGAAGATTGCGCGACTTGCTACCACATTTGCGTCAGGTTGTCTATCACCGGCTTGTACCGAATACGATCCGAAGAGCACCGAGCAAGCAATTGACGGGGTTGATATGGTGGTTGTGTGTTTAGGAACAGGTGTGTAATGTAATGTAATGTAATGTAATGTAATGTAATGTAATGTAATGTAATGTAATGTAATGTAATAATTTATTATGTGTTTAAATGTTTAAATACATACAGAAATAAATAGTCGCTAAAGACAGTCTTGAGCATAATATTAAAACCATTGACGTGTTTCCATTTAGAGATTTTGTCGTTCGGTAAAGCTGATATAAATGTATTTCCTTAAGTGTAACAAACTTTCACCGGATTGGTGGTGAATACTTTGCAATAGTATCCAGCAATCAATTTTGATCTCAAACTCATGCTTGCCTTCATTTGCATGTATGTGGTCGATTAGCTTGAAAAAAGCTGATTTTGTTTAATACCTTAATTTCATTGTCTGTCTGTCTGTCCTTATTTTGATAGCATTTTAATTGAATAATTCAAGCATATACCGGTTTCAAGTTCTCCGATTGCTACGTCTTTGAGCATGCGCAGTATCAATTCCGCGAAAAGGGAGGCAATTTCATATCCTTTCGTCCGTGATTTATTTGTTGTCTTACTTCTTTTCCGGGCTTTTTCAGCATGTATGAATTAAAATGTTAGAAATATTAACTCAACGTATATTTAATAAGACAATTTACATATTCATATACATTCCGCTTTCTTTTTATTTATTTCTGTGCCACAAATCTATAGAGAAACAAGATTCCCTTGTAAGTTTCTGCATGTCCTAGGTATGTCTCAAATTTGATGTTGCTGTCATTTAAAGCTGTCGTCTGAATTCCCGGCCGGAATGACGCATTGTTGTGTTTTCTTCATACTAGGTAACAAAGTTGAAGCTGAAGCTCACGACAGATCCGAGCTCACGTTGCCGGGACAACAACTGAGACTACTCAAGGATGCTGTCACATTTGGTAAATTCCGTTTCCTTTTTGCTACTTAACGTGCATATACATATGACGTACGTACATACTATCAACAATTTCCACCTCTAGTTCACATAGCTATACTTTAACTTAGCGTTGAACATATTATTATAATAAATAAATAATAATGACGTTGTTATATCGATTCTAAGGTTTGTTAAATACTCTTGCATTGCTCTTTGAAAACAAACCCACCCGCTAAGCCCAAGAAAGCGGTTGTGCATGGAGGATCGCATTTTTCCAAAGAAGGAGAGAGCAGGAAAAATATAACCAAAATCATAAAATCAAACGAAGCCACATACACATACAAACCAAATACTGGAAAGGGTAGGGTGTGAAGACAATATTCTTACAAGTGTCTTTCATTTGTTATGGATTTTCTACAGCTGCGGGCAAGCCGGTTATTTTGTTACTCTTCAACGCAGGGCCGTTAGACATCACGTGGGCAGTTAGTAACCCTGCCATACCTGTTATAGTGGAATGTTTCTTCCCAGCACAGACCACTGGCACGGCGCTCTATCATCTGTTTGTGAACTCACCAGGGAGTAACCCCGGTGGTAGGCTACCGATAACATGGCCAAAATCCATGAGTCAGGTACGGTTGGTGTGACTTATTCTCTTTCGCGGTATGTGAAACGGCGTTTGATTAATCTTCGTTATGTTAAATTTATTTTTATTTTGTTGCTAGGCATTGAAGCGGCACAGAAACAACACAAGTTCCTGGTGTAGTTTGCTAATATGCACCCGTATTCAGTTGAAGCTGTCAACAGTGTTGACGACTTTAGGAAAACTTCAATCTGACAAAAATAAGATCCTAGTTTTGGATTTTTGTATTTGCATATTTGACTCGATTTTATTTTATTTGGATCTATTATTATTATTATTTGTTTAAGTTTTGGTGATTGCGAAAGCCAATCCTCGAGGGCGGACATCCGGGCAGTTTCTACCGCCTGGCAACCCTCGCGGTGAAAACAAAGACCAAAAACTCGCAGAAAACGGTACTTTGCGATGGTTGTTGAGAGTCCCCTGAACAGTGTAACAAGATTAGCCCTACGTGTGTAACATATATGGATTTGGTTGTTCAGGATTACTTCAAAGTTGAGTTTGTGTTGTTTTCTCGAGTTTTCACCGGCTCCACCGGCGTTCCACAGCAGCGCGCACAAAGCCCATAGAAATACGTGGTACAGTGGTGCGCGTCTTAGCAACGTAGAACGTCCGTGACGTAGCTCCGCCCGAGGATAGTAACAAAAACCATAAAAAAAATACATTTTTTTTTTAAATACTCAAAAGTAAAATAAACACCGTACTAATCAGATTGGGAAAACTTTAATAATTGAAGGGAAGGTTCAGTATATATCGAGCGTCGTTTGTGGGATCGTTTATACGTTCAAACAAGAATTCCACTTTTCATTGCATTTAAAGTATTTAAAACGTCTCGTGCTAGTGCCTAGATATGTATAAAACATATCCTTGGCTTGCAAATGAACTTACATGTATTTTTAAAGTGTTTTGCTTCTATCAAAATAGACGTCACAGCTGCGCCATTTGGCTAAAAAAATAGCTTTTGTTTTCAAGCAATCTGCTTCCCACTCAGCAATGGAGATTCTTATTTCCTGTATGCAGGTGCCGCCGATGGAAGACTACACCATGGAAGGTCGAACATATCGTTATTTCAACGGAGATCCACTGTTCCCGTTTGGATATGGTTTATCATATACTACATTTCACTACAATGACTTGATAATTACTCCGTTCACACCGATTAAACCTTGCAGTTCAATCAATATAGCTGTCTTGCTGAAAAATACTGGTGATGTACCAGGAGACGAGGTAATGTGTTTCTAGAGACAGCGTCCTCTATTGACGAAGCATTTCAATGACGAGAGTCGTTCAATTCAAAACGTTGATATCGTTTTAATTTGTATTCGTTCATTAGTAAATTATGTTTTTGAGAGATTTAGTTATATTCTAGATAACGGACTACTACACAACCAAATATATTTGTCGATTTTGAACGACATTGCCTTCACCCAATACTAGTATTTTGACGTCACAGATGCGCCCTGTCACTAGAGGGCGCTCTATATAGGAACAGTGCATTTCAAGGTTCAGCTGTGTGAACCCTTCTGCTCTCTCTATATATATATATAAGTGTGACCGGGCATGTGTTACCTTACAACATATATAAATATGAATATAAAAAATTTGATTATTATTATTATTATTGCAAAATGTTTACATGTATCCAATAATATTTGCTTTTTTCGTAGGTCACCCAATTTTATATGAGCTGGGGAAACGCTTCAATCCCAGTACCGAAGTGGCAACTTGTTGGCGTGAGCCGAACGCGATTGCAGTCCAAAAAGTCTGTGAACATCGCCATTACAATCGCTCCTCGTTTAATGGCTGTGTACACCAACAAATGGGTCATCGAACCCGGTGTTTATACAGTCTACGCTGGGGGTCAGCAACCTCACCAGTCAACCAAAGTACCGTCCAATGTTCTCCGGGGTCATTTTACTGTCGACGGAAGCACGACTCCTTTGTCCCAGTGCCAATGAATACAAATGTCATGCATGCACACACGTTTTGATCACAGTACATATCGAGTACATTCAGTTATCAATAAATACCGATGTGTATTTTTCACTAAGTGAAGTTTACTTTTGACATGTATATACCAGCGATATTTGTACTGTGTATATCCAATCAGTACAATCAAATCATATTCATATATAACGGAACATGTGTTTATAATATTCAGTTTTTTAAAAATTAGTTTTTTTCAATATTCGCGCACCATTCGATAAGTTAATGAAATAAAATGTGGTGGGTTTAGTTTAAAATAGCTGATTATTTGTAGCTAAAAGTAGAAGAATCCTTCTTCATGTAGAAGTGTTCAATGATCTTGTACAGGAAATAGAATTCCAAACGTAGATCTTGAACAATGTAGTATATTACATAATATGTACAATGTTGGTGGCATGAACTTTTACATGGAGGGGCGAGATCTGCTCATCAACCTCGCGCCGAAGGCACGACCTTATCAGGGGGTCCGGAGGCATGCTTCCCCTTAAAAAATGAAATCTAGACCCTCTGAAACGCTATTTCCTGCATTTTGAGGGGCAAATTTTGCTGACACAAAGGGTTTCAGCTTGATTTTGGAGGGCCCCAGTACCGCCGCCACTGATGTAATAGATCATATTTGTCAATCGTTGTCATAGAAAATAGCTGGACGTTTCGAGCAGTTTATATTACTGTTTTTATTGTAGATTCGCGCAAATGGCATTTTTAATGGTAGTATTTACTGTGGCCGGGTATCACTTGCATTAATATGTAGTATTCTTTAATTTTATTGTTTTTTATACATTACAAAATTGCAATTTCTTTTAATGTTTAATTAAGTTGGATATAAAACAATGTATGTCGCCCTCTGTGTCAAGATCATGGCTAGGGACTTCCCCCGCTTGACACAACACATGGTTTTGAATTCTGTATTTATAAACGATATCATCCTAATCTTTTTTTTATTTTATATTAGTTATTCAAACCATCTAACTTTGAGCCTAGACCGATTGGTCTATGGGGTGATTGAGGTCATGTACGATGTAATATTTTGTGTAAATTGTTGATTCATATCAGATTTTTTGCGAGATTATTATGTGACGTCTGAATTCTGAATTCTGTATTTACAATATGTACGAGAATGAAGTAAAGTAATCCTTCAAACCATTCGCATCATAAATTATTATTTTCACGCTCCACTCGCCGTACTTTACGTGAAGTGAGGGCCGTGCTGCAGTGAGAGTGATGTACGGTCCACCACACTATTGAAGACATGGAGGAGTCAGGTGCTAAACAACCCGGTTAATTACCGTACGCTTCACTCATAGTTCTGGGACGTAAGAAAGATAGTACAGTGAGAATATGAGTCAGAATATTGTCAGTTAAATTGGGAGGGTCATCACCTGCACACGCGCGGGATTGAGCCCCAAGCGATGATAACAACTTACACACGCGAAGAACGCAAAAGCTCATGGGTAGACGCTTGTTTGTAAACAATGACACGCTATGGACACCTGACGCATGCGCAGGTGACGACTCCCACGTTTTAAAAGCTCACGCTGTACAAGATTCCTTTCCCCTACCAAGGATTGACGAGGTCTTTGCTAAATGCTTTTGGTAATGCTAAGTTTGATCTTACCTCTGGTCATTGGCAGGTGGAAAGAGGGTTAGCATATAACTCCGGCTGAGACCCACTACCCTGTTTCAAATGTATACAGGGGGCAATTTTGTTTCTATTTTTTTAATGTAGTTTAAAAGGAACTAATAAAGTTTCTTGTTATAAACTAGTCCTAGTAATGAAGTTTATCGAGCAATAATACCCCCGCCCAGATACAAGATAGTTACAAATGTATGTGCTGCAAGGAAGTGTTCTGTTAGGAAAGATATCCTATAGTAATTGTGTACTCAACATTTTTTTTCACTTCTCATCACTTCATGCTTTTTTGTAATAAACAAAAACAAAATAGAGTTAAATAAAAATCCAACATGTATACTGTGAAAATGTTTCAGGGAAAATTAACGCCCTTCAAATTTGAAGACCGGTGTGATGATCAGTATTTCTACGATTGAATTAAAAATGCTGGAACGATATCATTTAGACTTCGGTCGACAGATTCAATGTCCCGATTGTTGGTCGCCCGGATATTCAACTTCGATATATCATGTCAAATATTAACTAGAATTGTGTTGATAAGTATTATGTACTAAAGAAAATACACCCCTCTATAGCAGTAAGTTTGCAAAACACGTTCTCGAGCTGTCTACGTTATAAGATGAAGTCGGCAACACTCAAGGTGTTGGTGTGCATGCTCTTCGGCTACTGGTTGCCGGGGAATTGCACGGATTACCCGTTCCAAGACCCATCGCTCTCCTGGGACGACCGGGTAAACGATTTGATTACTCGTCTAACAGTAGACGAAATCACCGACCAGATGGCTTTGAGCAGCCCCGCCCCCTCCATTGACCGACTGGGTATAAAGCCGTACGAATGGTCTACTGAGTGCCTGCGGGGAGACTCTGACGCTGGTCCTGCTACAGCTTTTCCACAGGCATTAGGGTTGGCAGCTTCATTCGAGTAAGTTGAATGCTTTATCGACGGTGGCAATTAATTAAACAAATACAGCTTTTTAAAATTGTGTATATTTGGTCATGAGTTGGCCTGGCGTTGTTGGCTCCTCCCCCCCCCCCCGGGGATACTCACTTTGAAGTTCTATATGTATATGTACCGCCAAATAGGGGTCCCATATTCACCACTTCTATCAGAAAAGGGGTATGGTATTTTACCCTGTTTGTTTTTCATTATTTCTGTCTAAAAATGGGTCCAGTTCTTTGGTCACATCTGTACACGCATGGATATTTATTCACCGAATATTTTCCTTCCCCTCACCAGGATTTTAAACTAAATAATTATTGGTACGTACTATTATTTCAAAACTCATGCGCGTTTAACTGTTCATGAAAAACACTAACCCTATGTGAATGCCTGATATGCACTATCGAAAAGGAATACCAATACAATACTCAACGTTAATCATAGTGTCTCCATACAACTAATACACATTCCTATTATTTAAATCGCGCCCTCTGGCGACGCAGCTCTTCTGTGACGTCAAAATGGTGGGTATAAGTAATTTCTTTGAAATAAACAACTCTGTTTGGCTGTGGAGTCGTTCGTCATTCAGAATTTCTATTTTTATTGAATGGCATTTTAGTTTACTGACATCCACAATCAAAACAATTCCTTGAACTGAGTAACTTGCACCCATTTACATTACATAAGCGATTCATCATGTGTGTTATTGGAACAAATTCAATTTGGAGATTCAGTTTTCATGGCATTTTATTGCGCTTTTCTTTTCTAGCTTTGATACAATATTTGACGTTGCCAGGACAACGGCCATCGAAGTACGGGCGAAGAACAATGACTACGAGCGTCGTGGGGAGTACGAAAACCATAAGGGTGTGAGTTGTTTCAGTCCCGTTTTAAACATCGCAAGACATCCACTTTGGGGTAGGAATCAGGTATCCCAGTAATATTGTTATTTTACATTTTATCTAAAGATTATTTTATTTTAAATTGTCCTATCCAATCAACATTGTCATGTCGCGTAACGTTTCTCAAAACTGCATTCATCGGCAATGTTTAACGATAAACCCATGTTTATAGGCCCTTTTTAAAGGGCGGCAGTCGTCGTGCTGCGCATGTGCGACATTTGTGTTGATAAACATTGATTTTCTCACAGTCAAATGCGCTCTTCTAATGGAAAATGGAAGTATGAGATTTGAGCTTGGCGCGACTTGCACTAATCACCGCCGGTTACTCCTTCGATACCTTCCAATCACTAAAAATACGTCTCAGTTTGTACTCGTTGTGTTTATATGAGACCATATATCTCGCGCATGCGTGGCGTGACGACTGCCGCTCTTTAATCTTGTTTTTCTTTATCATTAAAATAAAATTTGAACATCCTCAAAAAGTCACATGACTTTCACGCAGACGTAATGACAACCACAAGTGAATTTCAAACACCAGGCCAACGAACGATTTCTTGATTTCTTGAAATAATACAATATAATTTCATTGAATTTGTTACCATTCACAGGAAACGTACGGCGAGGATCCGTACCTGAGCGGCGAGCTTGCCAGAGCATTCGTTCACGGACTCCAGGGCGACCACCCTAGATATCTGATCGCCAACGCAGGCTGCAAACATTTCAACGTGCATGGAGGACCAGAAAATATTCCCGTTTCAAGATTCTCCTTCAATGCTAAGGTGAGAGTGAAATACGTTAGGAATGAGGCAATGACACTATGACCGGTTAAATAAAGCCCCCACTAATAATGTTTTTGTTTTTTTTTCAAACTGATTCGCGGGATCCTTACTGTTAAAAGCTAATGTATGACATGTGCTGGCGCACATACTCGCATAATTGCCCCCCCCCCCAATCCACTATCCGCTGTAACCAGTCTGAAAGTTTCTAGTACATGTAATTCTTAAAATTCGTGTCAGTCGTGGATGCTAACACATTGCTGTACAGCGCTCCGGAAAGATGTTGGTCGATAGAGGGCGTTGTGATGTAGCGCGAAGAAGAGTCTCTATAAGTTTCCACCGTTCTCTTCTAACGTGACTGTCTCATACAGGTGTCTGAAAGAGACTGGAGAATGACGTTTCTACCAGCGTTCCACGAGTGCGTCAAAGCAGGGACATACAGTTTGATGTGCAGCTACAACAGGTATGGGTGTTCATAGTCCAGGTGTGTGTACACGCCGAACTTATGAATGAATGAACTTATTCGAAAACCCCAACTGTAGAACAATTTGCGGGCAATTGTAAGACATTTTGTACATGTTTTAGTAATATACCGTACACAGAGAAACTCATTAGATTTTTAGAACTGACTACTTTACAAGTTCAAGTGATTAGAAACTTTCGAAGCTTTATTTTGGTTTCGGTACACTATTCATGCTATGAATATGCACTGATTACAGGAATAGTTGATACCTTACCTAGTCATACTAGTATTTACTGATTTTTATTTTTATTCTATCTTTAGTTAATGATTGACCACCCTTTACTCACATATGCTTTCAGAATCAACGGTGTACCGGCTTGTGCTAACAGCGAGCTGTTGATCGACGTCTTACGAAAGGAGTGGAACTTCACCGGCTACATCGTCAGCGATGCCGGTGCCATTGAGAACATCTACACACGTCACCACTACAGACTGGACGCCTTGGAAACCGCCATCGCATCTGTGAACTCCGGTTGCAATCTGGAACTTGGCGGTGGATCCCACCCTACCTTCCTACAAATCAAAAATGGTTTCAAATTAAAGAGAATCAGCAACCAGACCCTCATGGAACGGATCAAACCCCTTTTCTATACCAGAATGAGACTGGGCGAGTTCGACCCCGTCAAAATGAATCCTTTCAAACAGCTTGATCTATCTATTGTCTTATCTGACGGCCACAGGGAACTTGCCGTGAAGACCGCCCTCAAGACAATCGTACTGCTGAAAAACGACGGCCGCACACTCCCTCTTAAGGGCTCTGTCAACAATCTTGCTGTAGGTACTTATATCTGTCAATACAAGATGAGTAATCGGAATGTGTTGTCTATATAGTTATACGATAATAACGATGATATAATAGATGTGTTCAGGCTACACTTACCAACACTAGCCAATCTCATATGTTTAAATATCGGCTATACCAAATTGCGTTCACACACGAGAGAGAACATTACTTAGTACGGGCTAAGAAACACTAAAACTATACATATATTCAGTCTATGACTATGATTACTAATACCCAGTACAGTAACCAGGAAGGTATGCACATTAGTTCTATGGTTATAAAACAATACTAAAACAAATTTAGAAATTGTAGGTTGCGGTATAACAAGAAGTAGATAGAGTCTCGTTGCCAGATTTTTCTTAAGATTAATTATTCAGAATATGAATATTATAATAGTAAATCTTCCAAATAGATATTGAATACAAACGTTCGCGCGCACTTCGTTAGCCCATACTAAGGGTCAAGACCGGGTCTTTCAAAGCAAACAACATAATACTCCCAGATGAAAGAGCTCCATAAATGTAAGAGAATGCAACTTACAGATATTAAACTTTTCATCAGTATTATGTAGTCCACTATTTTGATTGCCCAGCAAAGGATTGTGGGTAAAGTGTGCTTAGAAATGATCAAAGTTTGTGGTATCAGGTAGAACATGAGAATACGTTATTAATTCACCTTCAAGCTCTTATTATTGAATGTCATTTAACAACAGCCCCTTTGATTAAGAATGCATGAAATTACTTATTCCTTAATTTTGACACATTGCAGTAAAAATGTAATATTAATTTCCCGAAGATACCGTTATTGTTTTGAAGTTTGATTCATGGATGATTGAATACATAAGGTATACTATTTACCATTGCTTTTTTTTCAAAGTTTACTACACAAATTTTGCGGTGAGTCACGATGAGTAGACTAAATGTTGGCAGATTATACAGAACGCAGGATGAGACCACGGTGTAGGCGATGTGAATCCATCATGAGAACAGCTTTTAGTGCATATCAGTCTTGGAGCGTTTACCTCTACGCCTCCTTCCACCTCCGTGACATTATCAAAATTACCGCGTCTACATCCAACGAGAAATACATTGCAAAAACTACATATTGATGCATCATTGTACTTGTACATTTCCTTAAATAGGTCGTTGGTCCTCTGGCCGACAACGTGGACGCCCTCTATGGCGACTATTCTGCGACTCCTAACAACTACACGGTCACACCCCGCAATGGACTTGCACGATTGGCGGGCAACACTTCCTATGCATCGGGCTGCGATAATCCCAAATGTCGGAAATACGACTCAGGCCAAGTAAAGAGCGCAGTTTCGGGGGCTGATATGGTGGTGGTCTGCGTTGGAACAGGTAAGCATGTCGATAATCTAAGGTTGTGGACGTTCTAAAAGTACAAGTAAATATATCTTTTATGTTAATTTACGAACTTGATTTCCTATATGGTTCACTTCGTATATGAATAAACTTGCTTGTCATAATGTGTCACGTGGTATGTTATTTCAGGTACAGACATCGAATCAGAAGGGAACGATCGTCATGAATTGGCGTTGCCTGGGAAACAACTGTCTTTACTCCAAGATGCTGTGAAATTTGGTACGTTCAATATAATCACTTAGCAATATGATCACTATTTGAAGTTCGCGCAAAAATACAATGTATACACGTCACACGGAACACCTATCAAACACGGCTGTCGCGACGACTATCACTATTCAAGTACATGTATATGTATATGTAACATGTGATCTGATGTCTCTAACCTGGTCTTCATCGGCTCAGCGTTGTAGATTTAGTCAGTGGTGTTCGCTGGCTTTCCGGGAGACTATACTTGTGCCAACTCAGCGTCGGCAAGCACTGAGATTACATATAGTACATGTATATCGCGTCCAAATTTACTTTGTTTTTATGGCACACGTTAACGAAGACTGTGCTCGAAACTGTGTGTTTTGTTCAAGATAAATCATAATCCTCATAGGTATGTACCAATATTATCCATAATACCTTTCAAAATGCTTTCTTCAGCCGGTAGCAAACCTGTTATTCTGTTACTATTCAACGCCGGGCCACTAGATGTATCCTGGGCAGTCGAGAACCCGGCAGTTCAGACGATCGTAGCGTGCTTCTTTCCGGCACAAGCCACGGGTGACGCGTTGTACAGGATGTTTATGAACACTTCGCCTGAGAGTAATCCAGCCGGAAGGTTGCCAATGACATGGCCCAGATCAATGGAGCAAGTAAGTTGACATGACAATACAGTACGATATGCGGTATGATGTGGTTGGGTGATATGCGATCCGATATCACGCAAAGAGGTGCGTTGCAATGCGACGCCGTGTGGTTCAGTGCGATGCGATGCGATGCGATGCAGTGCGATGCGGTACGATACGATGCAATATCATGATGCAATTCGATACTATGTACTCGATACAAGCAAGACAATACAATTATTGTGCTACATGTAATACCGTTGTCACACAGGTACCCCCAATGACGGATTACACAATGAAAGGCAGAACGTATCGATATTCTGACGCCGATCCGCTATTTCCGTTCGGGTTCGGGCTTTCATACACCCTCTTCAAATACTACAATACGAGCGCATCGCCGACGGTCATCAAGTCGTGTGACACCGTCACTATACCACTCACTGTGACCAACGTGGGAGACTTCCCTGGAGATGAGGTGAGCCATAATTTGTATTACTAGTACCAGTGTAACGGAACTGATGCCGACTCGAAGTTTTTATCACACTTCGGAGATATATTTCGTTAGATCGTCATATTTTCTCGTGACCATATATTTTTGATATTAAAGTTATCTATGCAATTTGAATAATTCCAAGTTTTTAAAGATTGCTTTCAGTTTTTAGGCCAATTTGTTGATATGTTCAATAAATACAATATAAACTAAAATGAGACGTATGAATTGTCTGGCAATTGTGCCTGAGCGTGTCAGTACCTATCCTGTTGATCATATTGGTCGTACAATATATTTAATTAAATAATCGCAACAAATAATACATCGATCCTATAAGTCACGTTCTCTTCCATGACGTCAAATCATGTGGTACACACTGTCCAAAACATCGATAGTTTTTTATTTTTCTTTCGTCAAATGTTATAGAAAGATTTGTTATATGCTTACACTTATTACTGACGTCATGTTGACGTCATTGTAGCTACATAAACCTAACGAAATGCATATCTGCAGTTACTGTAGTTGAAGGTGGAAACGGTTTTAACTATTGTACCACTTGGAAGCCGCTCACACTGAACTAAAAATAAATATGATAAACATGAAATATTAATCTTTTAATCTAAACTTTTTGTATTATATAGGTGATGCAGGTGTACATAAGTTGGAGCAATGCATCTGTCACAGTGCCAAAGTTACAACTAGTGGGATTCCGCCGCGTACGAGAAATTGAGCCAAGTGCGAGTGCCACCGTGCACTTTGCCGTCCTCCCCCGCATGATGGCGATATACACCACGCAGTGGATGATAGAGCCCGGTGTTTACAACGTGTATGCAGGGGGTCAACAACCAAATCAAGTCACCCAAGGAGTACCTTCGAATGTCGTGATGACGTCATTTACGATTGAAGGGCCGAGCACTCCTTTGAACAAGTGTGATATTCAATAATAGTGGGCGGTTGTCAACGTGACGAGATTTTTAAAAATTACATTTTGTTTTATTACACGTTGACCAATTAAATGTCAGAGATAAACAAATTAACATAAATACTATTAGTAAATTTCCACATAACTGTGTTAATGCCATACATTATGTTGATATTCAAACATATAGTAATATTCGAATATAATACAAATAATGTATTATACTTTTATTTTATTATGTCTTAATGGGTTTATGCAAATTACAACTCAAAACTAAATTCAGCATTGTATATGCCAATTCCGCCAAATCCATAGCGCCACAGTCATCACATAGCGCCACAGTCATCACATAGCGCCACAGTCATTACATAGCGCCACAATCGTCAATCTGTGCGTTAAAGTGCGCTTCTAATTTTGCGTAAACAAATTGTTCGCTACTCGCGTCGTATACGTCACATGGGACCCATGTCGAAAACGTCGCTGTGCGACAACTGTTGCGCTTCAAACATGGTGCAATTGGGAGAGTAATCGCAAATGAGGCAGATGATTTCACTAAACATTCTTTTATACAATGTAAACGTAAAAACCCATCAGTCGTATTTCTGCGTATTTACGATTCATACAAGAAAAACAACCCCTGCCAACGAACTGATAAAAATGTATTGCCACAGTGAATATTTCAAAACATACAGATGAAACATACTACATTGTTCTGACTGATTAAACATAATTAAAGCTGCATTTTATTTGTATGATTGTACAATAATAAAACATAATTGTGTTCAAATCATGTATGAGGGGTGTTTTCATTGCGGTTCAATTGGAACCGCTACTTATAGGACACATTATTTTACTGTTTACTGTAAACTGTTTTACTGTAAACGGTTTTACTATTTTACTGTAAAGGGCGGTAGTCGTTGTGTCGCGTCCTGTTCGATATCGAAAACATAGCGACGTATACAACGCGTGTAAAGTACATTATTTATTTACATGAAATTCGAACACGCGCTGTGCGATGACCACCGCGCTTTAATTATAGACAGAATGATTTTGACGCGACATATTGCGATATTCGCCTTTGTTTTATGACATATCCTGCGTTGATGATATCGCCATAGCCAGGGATTTTAACAATTTATCAGACTATCTGAGCGAGTTACAGTCCAGTGAAATGTATGTATATGTTATAGAGAGTCGACAAGGGGTATTTTCGTAAGCTGTAATCAATTGGTTTTATATTCGTAATAATTGCGTTGCGTTGCATTGCATTGCGTTGCGTTGCGTTGCGTTGCG